CCTGCTGCAATTCCTTGGCTTTTCTCTTCATATTCTCTTTAGCTTCTCGTTCTTGATTCTAGATAAAATTGAAAAAAAAGTAAAATAATAAAGAAGACAAGGTACCAACATTTGATACGTACCTCTCTGACGGCACGATAAATGCGTTCTTCCTGAGAATCCATTTCGGTGTACGTCCGGATCTGACCAATATTAACATTTTCGCGATACCCCAAGGCAATTATCTCATCAAACGCAAAAATAAGCTGAAAAGCATTATTCAATACGTCTGCCTCATCCGTGCCACATGCATATTCTGGGATCTACATGGAAAAAAACTAATTGGAAAGTAGCCATAGTAGAACATTAAATATAAGAAAATATCAAAAGTAAAACCCACTACTCGGGCAAACAATCTAAGAGTTTCCAGATCTTCAAGAATGTTGCTTGCTTTAGTGGTTATTAAGAGAACAAAAAGTTTTTCAAGTGGCTGGTAAACGTAGCGGACGGATTCCGTCTCCACAAACGTATGCTGCTTTCCTAAAATAAAATATAAAATTAAAATTAAAATGTTCTTTAAAATATTTAATTTTAAAGGAATTAATTTACCTGCGCTTATGAGTTTTGGGAAAGTTGCAATAAGGCCCTCGATCCTCGTTTTAGTCATTTCAACAAATTGTCTTGATACAAGAGCTGGTATAGACATAAATATATTAAAAGACTTGCCTTTGCCTTCCTTAGAACAAATAGTTGCAGCTAAAAGGACCTGCAAGGAGTATAACAAAGAAAATAGCTTACCATCCTCGCGGAAGAAAAGCTACAACCTGTAAGTATTTAGACTAGCCGGCTACTGGTGTAAACGAGCGTTTAATAAAGCATACATAAAAGACATTCCACAATTTTTGCGTTAAAATAAGTTAACAAAATGTTATTACACATTTTAAGGAGAATTAGTTGAAATCTAAATATTCCTTATATTTGTATATTATTATTTATCAACATAATTTCGACTTTATGACTTTTTGGTTTATAAAATAAAATTGTTGGGCTTACTTCCATTTCGAGTAGAAGTGTTGGGTGAAGAGATTCCTAGGTCGGTTCCACCAGAAGACGACGGCGAATTCCTCTTGATCAGCTGTCGATTGGCTTTACTGGAAGATT